TGAGCTTGGTTAACTTGGAATGCTAATCCCAATAAGGATAATTGTCCCAAATAGTCTACTTTTTTTCTATTTAGGCTCGAAATCTTTAAAAAACTAGCCAACTCGTATCACTTCTCAATCAAATTGTTAAAAGGCCGAGTTTATTATAAAGGTGTTTCAAAAATAAATTTACTTTAACCAAAAAAAAAAAAAAATGACAACCGACCACTAAATTAAAAATCAAAACATGCTGGGCACAATTTTTTTTAGCATAATTTCCACGTGTGTGACACGTGTCTGGCCACCAACCAAGAGTTCTAAATTTGTCTTCTTATTTTTTCCAATTAATACGATTAAGTAATAACTTGGATGATGATTGGTGATTATAACAGCATTTGATTTAGCACTAATTATTGGGGAGGTCATGGACTGAAGGAGGCTGTGGATTGGGTATACGTGTTACAAAAGTAGTTGTTGGGAGAATCAAAGGAGGTGATGTGGACTCATGGTCATGGACGGTGGTGGTGAATGAATGATGTGGTCGGTCACTGTGATGTTTCACAATACTCTTGAGGATTGGACCTCTGCTGTCCATGCCCATCATTGGAATTGTGGGTCCAATCATAATTCAAATTTAGGTAGTATGGAAAAAATTTGCTACCATTAGACGAGTAACTTCTACATTCTCGAAATTTATGGTTCCCAAACGTCTGACTCGTCCATCATTTGTATTTTTATCAACGTTCAAAATTATATAATTTTGAGTGTGTCAAAACTTAAATGGTCCTAATTATATAATCTCAAATCACATAATAATTATTTATATTTATGCTTTTTAAGTGGAATATAAGATGTACGCGGTGCCCCGTGCACTATGAAGGGATCTCATAATGTTTATGTCTGCACGTGTATAACGCGGATAGCTATAATGTATCCAATGTGTCGAGCATACTGAATACCTATTCCTTAAGTGAAGGAGTGTAATATAAATGTTACATTTTGAGGAGGTATGGTTTCAATTATATACATATATTTATATATCATGATTTTCATGTTATAACAAATTATATTAGTAAAATATAAGAATAATGATGTTGATTTTTCATGGTGATTAAAACTATTAAGATGATAAAAGCATAATTAAGTGTTGTGAGATATATATGTATCACTCGCAAGTGCACGAATCTTTGCAGATAGAGTTTACTTGTAAGGGTGTCGTACCCAAGAGACTTATGTAAATTAAGTTTGTCAACAGATTTCTTAAATTCCAAATAACTTAAAAGTAGGATAATCGAATTGTGATGATTAATTCTAAATTAACTAAGTAAAAAAATAAAATAAACTAAAGAGTAATGATTAAATAGGATGTAGAAAATAGAGATAGAGAACTAGGGGAATAACTTCACCATTAACGTCGTACCACCAGTTAATTGTATCAATTTATTGAAGATATATCATATAACATGCACAGGAAATTAATCATAGCTACAAGCACATATTAATTCAGTTATAAAATAATATAATTTGAAGCTAAGCATGAACTATCTTCGATTGACATAAACCATCTACCTAACTACTTTACTCTAGAATGTAGCATGGTCTATCTTTTCTAGGCACAATCCATCAAATCTCTTGTAACGACCCTAAACTGAATACCGAAAATAATAAATTTTAAAAAAAAAATTCGGCATGACCTCCGCTAAAAATGCTCTTACAACAACCTGTTTAAATGAAAAAAAAAAAAAACAACGGCCTTTCAAGACCTATCCAACCTACCCCAACACACAATACAAAAGAAATATAATGTATTCTTCAATACCACAACATCAACAACCTTCCCAAATTAGCCCATCATCGTCATCCCCTTCAACTTAAGCATTTACATGGTCTCAGTTTATAACAAAAATAATCAAGTATCTTAATTATGTTACAGGGCCATGATTTACAAAAATAAATATTCTTTTACATAGTTTGAGACAATACAAAAAAAATGGATTAAGATACAAAAGATAACAAAATACAACTCCTAATCTTCTTCAAGCTTGCGGGGGATTGTCATCCGTCACTTTTTTTCTGAGCCTTGAAAAATGTTAAATAATAGGGGTGAGCAAAATTGCTCAGTAGGTAATGCCTAAGGCCAGGGCCGACCCTGGCCCAAGGCGACCAAGGCGGTCGCCTAGGGCCTCAGATTTTAAGGGGCTTCAAAATTTTGAGGCCCATGCATGATAGGCCACCAAAAAAAAAAAAAAATTAACCAAATGCAACAAATCTTTTAAAGGGCCTCAAAATTTATAGGCCCATAAATAATGGGCCACAAAAATAAATAAATAAATAAAAATTTTGTAATCCAACAAATCATTTAAGGGCCTCAAAAAAAAAAAAAAAAAAAAAAAAAAAAAAAAAAAAAGACATAAAGAAAAGAAAAATGCCAGTAAAGCAGTTGAACCGCCATTATCATCTCATTCTCAAGAATTTCAACAGGCTCTCAACTCTCAAGTACCCTTTCTCTCTCTCTCTCCCTGCAAGACTGAAGACTACAAGTCTACAACTGCAAGTTTTTTTTCCTCAAAAATCAAAAGTTTAAAACAGAAAATTAAAAATATCACTGTCATCACATCGTCGCCTCTCTTGCCGGCTTGCCATTTGCCTTCTTTTTCCACAAGTCTCTCTCTCTCTTTCTCTCACCCATCCCATTACTTTTTCTAAATTCTAACACATACAGTGATACACACACATATATATTATATATATACACATACTGACACACACTAAATATTTCTTATTAATTATTTGAATCTTTAATTGCAGGAAAATTCGCTTCCTCCATTCAATCTCTCTCTATTCAATCTCTTTTTGTGGATAATCTGCCTCCCTGCCATTCTTAGGTATGTGCTTTCCAATAGTCATATTTAACAATATAAATAAAAATTTCGTACTTTAATTATGTGAATGAGTCCACGACATAAGTTATCTCTCCAAACTAAACATATAAAAATTAAAGGATTTATGCTTTTATTAGGACAAGTGCAGAACTTGTTTACTTCTTATTACAGCATAAATTAATGACATTATAAACAATGAAAAATGATTTTCAAGTCAAGTCAAAAGAAAAGAAAAATCAGAAGATGAATTGCATTATTTATACAATGTTAGCTATAAATTGTTATCACAATTATAACTTTTATTATTATTATTATTTTTAAATTTATGACAATGTCTCAATAAATTTAATTTAATAAAACTATAAACTAATTTAAGTTATAGAATAATAAAAACTGATTTATAATAATTTGGTCTAATGCTCCAATAAATTCTTTAATAAAATATAAGTATATTCAAAATCTTCTTCTGGAGTGAGATTGTAAATTGTAACTATAGAGAAGATGAAAAAACAACAACAATAATAATAATAATAATAAGAATAAATTTATAATGACAGAGGAGAAAAAATATGCTAGGAATTAAAAAATAAAAAATAAATAAATAAAAATTAATAAGAGTCTTAGACAGATTTCTCCCGTACCATCATCATATTTTGATCATTTGATACTTCTAAAAGTAATATTAGGCGCCCGTTGATAGTGAAATTTGTTATTTTGATTTAATTTGTTATATTCTTCTATGTGAACTGTGAACTCAATAAATTTGTTGTAAATTTGTAATACAAGAGTTCCAAACTTTCAATCCAGCAATCCTTCACTTGAAGACATATTATTTAGACATCTCACGATGTATTTTTGTTTTTCTGTAAATCATATCATTTAGACAACTCATGAGCAATCCTTCACTTGAAGACATATCATTGAGCCATTGAGGTAATCTATATTTTCTTTCAGCAAAGCATTTTTTTGTTTTTCTTTTTTTTTTTAAAGTTTAGTTTTATGTTGATTATGTTTCCTATTATTTAGATTTCTAAGATTTCAAGATTTTTTTTACAATTATGTCTACAAGAAAATTTGAATCTGGGTATGAAAAAAAAGAAAAAAAAAAAAAAAAAAAAATGAAGACGAAGAGTTGATTCAATCTCAAAAAGGTGCTATTTATAAGTTTCTTAGGAACAATGCACAAACTGAGAGTTTAATTGATGACTAGGTGAATGAAGAACATAGAAATGAAGAAAATCTCAATGAACATGGATATTTAATGAATGAAGATAGGAATGAGAATCAAAATGAAGAAAATGTAAATGAACTTGAAGATTTGATAAATGAAGAATATTTGAATGAGAATGATAATCTTCTTTTGAACATTAATGATCCAGGAAATTGGAAAGATATTAATAAAAAAATGAGAGATTTATTAGTTGAAAGAGGTCCTCTAAGAGATGCTAAACTTAAAATTTTTCCTAAAAATTCAAAAAATAGACATTTCTCTTCTACATATTACATTCGACACTTGTCAAACGGTGAAAAACATAATAGGAGATGATTAATCTATTCGAGTTCTTTAGACAGAGTCTATTGCTTTTGTTGTAAGTTGCTTAAATGTAACGAACAAAAAACTCAGTTGGCAAATGAAGGAGTCAATGACTGGAAAAATCTTAGTGACAAACTTAAAAGTTACGAGACTAGTCGTGAACACATTGTTAACATGGGGCATTGGATTGAATTAGAAATCAGATTACAAAAAAATGCAACAATCGATAAAAGTGTGGAAGAAAAAATCAACAAAGATAGAAAACATTGGAGGCAAGTATTATTGAGAATAATTTCCGTTGTAAAAACTCTTGCTAGAAATAGTTTAGCATTCCGTGGGGACAATGAGAAGCTTTATGAAGAAAATAATGGAAACTTTTTAAGCATAATGAAATGATTGCTGAATTTGATCCATTAATGAAAGAGCACATTCGTCGAATTCAAAATAAATAAATTCATTACCATTATCTCAGTCACAAAATTCAAAATGAATTTATTCTTCGGATATCGAATGAAATCAAATGTGTAATCATTAAAAGGGTTAAAGAAGCAAAATATTTTTCAGTTATTCTCGATTGTACTCCAAATGCAAGTCATGAAGAGCAAATGTCACTTATATTAAGATGTGTTAATGTTTCAGCAAGTCCGATATATGTGGAAGAGTTCTTTTTAGGATTTCTAAAAGTGGGTGATACATCAGGGCAAGGGATTTTTGATGAACTTGTAGATGCTTTGAAAGCTCTTAAACTTGATATTGGTGACGTAAGAGGACAATGGTATGATAATGGTTCTAATATGAAAGGGAAACACAAAAGTGTACGAAAAAGATTACTAGATATAAATCCTAAAGCATTCTATACGCCGTGTGGTTGTCATAGTCTTAATCTTGCACTTTGTGATATGGAAAACTCTTGTTCTAAAGCATCATCTTTTTTTAGAGTTGTGCAACGCATATATTCATTGTTTTCATCTTCCACAAAGCGATGGAAAGTTCTCACAGACAATGTTAAAGGTTTTACACTTAAGCCACCATCATAAACACGTTGGGAAGGTCAACTAGAAAGTGTTAAAGCAACAAGATTTCAAGCTCCAAATATAAGAAATGCGTTAATTCACTTAGCAAATACTAGTGAAGATTCCAAGACAAAGAGTGATGCTGAGTGCTTAGCTACATATGAAATTAAGAATTTTGAGTTCTTACTTGGTATGGTTATTTAGTTTTGTAATGTTTCCAATTTTCTGCATTTTTCGTTTTTCCGGTAATTCATTGGTGCAAGGGTATTTCTATCTTTTCGCGTTTTGTGGTTGGGTCCAATTGTATTTTGTGCACTTTAATTTATGTGGGTTAAGTGGTATTTGTAGGTGGTGCATTTATATGTATGTGTGTGGTGTGGAATTAAAGTGAAAGAGAAAGGGAAAAGTCAAAGGTTGGTGGTGGAACCCACCACTATTTCTTATGTGGTCTCATTCTCTCTCTCCCGTAATCCCCTCCCTCTCTCATTCTTCTTCTTCTTTTCTTTTTCCTTTTGATTTGCAAGCTTCAAATCTTGATTGCAACTTCAATATTTGGAGTTTTTGGAAGCTGTTTGCGGCAAAACGAAGCTAACGACGAGACCTTTGTATTCATACCAACAATTTTAGCTTTGAGCCTCCCTTTGGATTTCGAATTTGGAGACCCATTTTAAGGGTTTTGCTGAAATCAAGGTAGGGGTTCTTAATCCATGATGTTCTTATGCTTTAATCAGTTAACTCTTCATAAATGGCTAATTAGCATGCTTAATTTGGGTAGTTCTTAGACAATTGTTTAGTTGTTATGTATTTTATTAATTGTGGGATTATGTGAATTAATTGATCTATGTGATGAACATGCTCATGCGTTGAATTATGCATGTTTAAAATGTTAGATTATTGAGGTATGCGAGCATGTGATAGATTCCTTTGAAATTCTTGTGAACTATATTTAATGGACAAATTTGAATTAATTGTGAAATGATGAACATTGTTAAGACATTAATGCATTTATGCATTTACATTGGGCAAGAAATGGGAAGAATTGATTATGAAAATGAAAATGGGGAATTTTGGGAAAGAAGTTTGATGAAAATGTTTTATGAAAACCCGATCGCCGCGGGGGTACCAAAGGGCCGGAGGGTTAATATAGCCTAGAGATAACTAGGGAGATTGCCCTAGCGTGGTTGAGCCAGCTGGGCCCAACATGATGCCACGGGGGTACCAAGGGTCAGGGACACTAGCCAATCCTTCTCTCGTGTCGCTGCGGGGTCATCAAAGGGCGGGTTATATTAACCGTTTAAAAGTGATGGTTTTGGAATGATAATGGGGAGTGACATTGGCATGCATTGCATTTCATTGCATTGAATTGGTTATATTGAATTTGTTATTATGTTGTGTATTCCCGACATGATATGACCATATTTCCTATTGCTCTATTCTTTGTATGGATTCATAGGGACACAAGAGGCGTGTCTTAAGTGCTACCTACTGAGCGATTCACTCACCACATTATATCTAACATTTTTCAGGACATGGCAAGGAGTTGGCGGATGATAATCCACCATAGGCTCGAGGGCACTTGGAGAACATTTTGGATGTATTTTTGTAGAGTTTGAACTTGTTTTAAGTAGTACGTGTAACAAGATATAGTAAGTTCATTTGGTCTGTAATGATGTAACTAGAAGTTTAAACTCATTTTTTATCTATATTATCCATGATATAAAGTCTATGTTTTAAACTTATGCAGTTGATTGTAAATGATGTTTAATGTGACCACGGGTTAGTTCTTTCATTTGTGATCGTAGAGTAACACTTGATTGATGACCTATCTTGAGTTCAAACCCTTGCTAAGTCTCCATTGCTGCTTCTCTTCCATTTTTACAAAGTTGTATGCTAAATTCAGGACCAGGCTCAAAAGAGTCATTTCGGTCGACCAAAATAGCTTATCGGTCGACCGAACCATTTGAACCCTTTCAGTATCTCCTGTTTCAGTCGACCGAAATAGGGTTCAGTCGACCAAACCATCTTCTCACACTCTCAGCTTCTCTCATTTCGGTCAACCGATGAAGAGCTTCGGTTGACAGGTTCAAGAGGGTCTGCTTCGGCCGACTGAAGCTTTACTTCGGTCGACCGAAATGCTTCTGCTTTGGGTTTCTTGATCTTCCTTCTTTGTAATCCACTCTTGACTCTTGGATTTTGTCTTAATCTTTTGGGAGAGCTTAGTTTTGATCCTAAATGTGTTGTTTTGACTATAGAAACGTTAGGTTTGACATAAATGACCTCAGGTTCAAGTCAGGACCCGGTTAACGGTTCGGACCCCCGGGTTCGGGTCGTTACAGGTTTGATATATTGAATGTTATTAACAAAGTAAGCAAAATCATTCAAACAGAGGACATGCAAATTGATGTTGCTATAGATCTCTTAAAAGGACTCATTTCTTTTTTTGAAACTTATAGAGAAAATGGGTTTAAATCTGCTATGATTGAGGCTAAAGAGATCGCAACTGAAATGGAAGTTGAACCGTTATTTCATGAAAGACGTGCCATTCGTAGAAAGAAACAATTTGACGAGAGTGCTAATGAAGAGATGACACAATCGACCGAAAAATCGTTTAAAGTTAATTACTTTATATACATAGTTGATCAAACTCTTTCTTCACAAAAGAGTAGATTTGAACAATTTCAACAATATGATGACTCTTTTGGATTTTTGTTTAATTTGGAGAGGTTGAAGTCTCTAAATAATGATAGTTTAAAGTGTTTATGTCATAACCTTGAAAATATTCTAAAACATGACATGGTTTTTGATATTGATGGGACTAAATTATCTTTAGAGCTACAAGTCTTAAGAGAAGCTTTACCGAAAGAAACAAAAAAGGCAATTGAAGTATTGGATTTTATAAAAAGGTTAGGTTATTGTTTTCCAAATGCTTGCATTCCATATAGAGTATTATTGACTATCCCAGTTACAGTTGCATCTGCTGAAAGAAGCTTTTCATAGTTGAAGTTAATCAAATCTTACATGCGGTCGACGATGACACAAGAGAGATTGAATGAATTAGCTATCTTGTCTATTGAAAAAGATGTATTGGAGAAAGTTGATTTGAGCACTTTAATTGATGATTTTGCAACTCAAAATGCAAGACGGTTACATTTACTTTAATGTAAATTTTGCACTTTTATAATTTTTTTTTTTTTTTTTGCGCTTGTGAAACTTATGTATAGAGGGCCTCACATTTAAAGTTCGCTTAGGGTTTCTCAAATTTTTTTCAATCTCAGGGCCGGCCCTGCCTAAGGCACACCTCTTGAGACCCTGTGAATCTACACAATGAATAAGAATAAGGAAATTGAGATCATACCATGCCGGGAGTAAAAGTATAACTACAATACCACATCATTAATCCAACACCACAAATAAATATGCCATGCACTGAAATGTCGTGCCATGCAATGTCACTTCCCATTTTCCCAAAACCATTTCCATTATCATTTCTAAACCGTTAGTGAAGCCATCCCATGGCAACTCCATGGTGGCATGAGAGGAGGATTAGCTACTGTCCCTGACCCATGGCAACTCCATGGCGTCATTTGGGGCCCAAGTAACTCAACCACAGTAGGGCGGTCTCCCTAGTCCCTCTAGGCCTGACTAATGCTGCGGTCCCTAGGCAACTCCTAGGCGGTCGGGTTTTTTCACAAAATCCTTTTCAAAATTCTTTCCCAAAATCCATTTCATTTCTTTCAAATCAATTTTCCCATTCTTTCCCAATGAATGCATATATGTCTTATGCATTTCAATGACGTACCAATAAAGAAATTTTTATTTCTTACAAGTCAAACATTTACAATATACATGTCTCATCGGAATATTCTAAGAATTTACATCATACTTCAAAATCATAAAATTCAGCATATAGGTATGAAATTTAACATCAATGTAACATGGTCCTTTATCACATAACAACTAACATATATATATACACATCTCATATACAACATATAACAAATATGAAAATAACACAAATTAGAACACAAATTATGAAAAATAATTCACTAAAATCTAAGAGATTGTGGATTAAACACTCCCACCTCAATTTAAGTCAAAACCCCCAATTTCCACCTCAATTTAAGTCAAAACCCCCAATTTCCACCTTAAACCCTCAAAATGGGTCAAGATTTTTCAGACTCCCTAGGTTGCTCAAAACTGAAATTGCTGGTACACACGTGCAGAGCTCGCCATGCTTTCCGTTTTGCCGCAAACGGCACTTAATATGACCAAGAGTTTGAAGATTAATCAAACCTTTAAGGTTGCAAAAGAAAAAAGAAAAACAGTACACACAGAGAGAGAAGACGCGGCAGAGAGAAGAGATTTTTTTTTTTTTTTGATGGTCTGTTAACCCTTAAGCCAAAACATAACTTATAAAAGGGTGGGTCCCACCAAAATTATTTATAATATTATTATGTATATATGCAGACAAATTGAAACATTACATCTCTAACGGATAAAAATCATTGTGTAATCATCTCATTCACAACTACAAGAAGTAAATGAGTTGTGTTCAATCAAAAGATTAAAATATCTAAGACAAGATAGAAAAATATTTGTAATTGAATTAAAACTTTAAAACCGATTCTTGTTGAAAAGTCAATTAAAAATTTTATAGATTATACAATCATGCATGATAAAAATTGTTCTCCAATAATTAAATACAACCAAACCAATGTGTTAAGTTAGGGCTATATCACAACCCTAGCAAATCGTTTAGCTAAGCATGACTGGAGTGAAATTTTTCATGGTTGAGGAAGACATTTTCATCGTCATGGATTGATCCCTTCTTGCTTCTGAATATTTCTCTTCTGATCTCAGCTTCAAGTTCCTCCTAAAATGATGCTTCAATGCTGTAGAGGACTCTCTTTAAATAATAAAAGATCAGTACTAAAGTTCCATTTTTCATATAGAAGACATACATAGAATTCTATCAAATAAGGACTTCAAAATTCCTACAGACTTTTAGCCTAATTTTGACAAGGTAAATAGCTGTTTTATGGAATCATCGTGAATACAAAATTATAGCTCTTCGAATTTCCTTTCAACCAACGCGGAATTTAGCCGTTTTGACACTCGAGGAGAGAGATACCGCCAAATTACCAAAACGGGTTCAAGTTACCAACTTTGGCGAAAGTTTCCTTTTTGGAGAGTGACTTTTCATTTTCTTCTTCTTTCCATTCTTATCAACTTGTGGCATCTTTTGGACTATTTTCTAAATATAATTAGATTTGGATCTTCAACATTCCTTGGTCCTACGGAATGCCATCTTTTAAAGCTCAGAATCACTTGTCTTGACTGATTTTATAATTAAAGTCCTAAAATAAATAAAAATAATAAAACAATATAAAATCACAAATAAACTATTAATAAAACATATAAATAAAAAGACTAAAATGTATAACATTCAGCGTCAAACATTAAGATGACAGAAAGCTTTCAAGATATATAAGAAATACTTTATTTTAGCTCAATGGTCCAAACATACAAACGGAAATGCCCATGTTAGGATAAACAAAAGGAGCATAATCGAGACGCTCCTGCATAGGAGGGAATTGCCTCCTTGGAATTTTGTTTTTTACTAATATACTTTACTAAATTGTTCCTTTTCAGTTATATACCCTACAATATTAGTATTGCTTCTCTGAAATTACTAAAAAAATATCATTATTACCCCCTCTCACTTAATGGTCTAGGTCTGCCCATAATGTTTTTAGTATTAACTACTAATATTTTTTAATTAAGACTACCAATACAACTATTGTAGTAGCGATGTTGATTTTCTTTTTCTTCTTATTTTTGTTATTTTTTTTTATTTTTTCCCTCTCAGCATCCTAAAAACAGAGTTCTGTTTTTTTCTTTTTCTTTTTCTCCAAAATTCAAGCAAACAGCCCTATATTTTTGTTTTCCCCATATTCGAACATTCAATCTTCTCAGGAGAAGATATATCATTTACATTAGAGCCCATTGATAAACTTCTAAATTTCTAGTAGACAAAAGTGGGTGAAGTATGTACCTTTTTTTAAAATATATATATATATATATATATATATATATATATATATATATATATTTTAATTGTTCACGTGCAATTAAACATGCACTTATAGTATTATCTTAGTAGGACTCAGAACAATGAACCACCTTCTAAAAAAGAGATATATAGCATCTGAATTAGACAGAGAGAAATACAATTTGAATTTATCTTTATTGGTAGGGTGGAGTGTGTTTTACTTCCCGCCATGTACGTAGATATATATGTTGAATGGATAGTTCTACTTACATTATGTCTCCAGCTTTGAGATAAATGGATGAGTAGTAAAAGGTTGGGTCATTGAAAGTGAAAGAAATAAAAGAAAGGAAAAAAGGAATGGGCGGCAAAAAACAAAGTTCAATTAATACTCTTTCCACACTAGTAGACCACTACCACCACATTACCTTACCATAAATATATACATACATACGGGCTATATATAGCTCCTCACTTTCAACTCTTCTTCCCATCACAAAACCAATCTCTCTTTTTAGCATCTGTGTAGCTCACTCACACAAGAAGCCAATGGCCAAGGACATTGCATTGACCCGGACGAGCTCACCAAGTGGTCATTCTACAGAGCCATCAGCCCCGAGTTCATTGCCACCCTCTTGTTCCTCTACATCACTGTCCTCACTGTCATTGGCTACAAGAGCCAGACTGATCCAACCAAGAACGCCGACGGATGTGGTGGCGTCGGCATTCTCGGCATCGCTTGGGCATTTGGCGGCATGATCTTCATCCTTGTCTACTGCACCGCCGGTATTTCTGGTGAGTCAATTTGCTATTGGGATTTCAACATTTTTTATAAGCTAATTGCAATTATACTAGTTTGCTCAATTTCTCATTCATATGAAAAAAATTTCTTATCAGTTTCTTTATTGATAAGGCCATAGATGTGGAATATTATTGGTTCATGAAATTTTTGAGAGTTTAATTATCATGTTATTGATCATGGTTTTGCTGAAATGTGCAGGAGGGCACATCAATCCGGCAGTTACCTTTGGGTTGTTTCTGTCTCGGGAGGTGTCTCTGGTCCGAGCTGTGATGTACATGGTGGCTCAGTGTCTAGGGGCCATATGTGGTTGTGCGTTGGTGAAGGCATTCCAGAAACCCTACTATGTCAAGTATGGTGGAGGTGCCAACGAGCTCTCTGATGGGTACAGCACAGGCACAGGGTTGGCAGCTGAGATCATAGGCACTTTCGTTCTCGTTTACACTGTCTTCTCGGCCACTGATCCCAAAAGAAGCGCCCGGGATTCCCATGTTCCTGTGTACCATGTGTTCGTATATATGTCATTGTTATTTCAACACTAGTAATTTTCAAGAAAACAAAATAGTCATCGACTGGGTTCTTATTTGAATTAAAGGTTCTGGCCACAATCCCAATCACTGGCACCGGTATTAACCCAGCTCGAAGCTTTGGAGCTGGTGTAATATATGGCAAGGACAAAGCACGGGATGATCAAGTATGTCCCTCCCTCCTCTGCTTATTCTCATTGTTTTACTTTTTATTTTTTATTTTTTTATTATTATTTTTTTTTATCTTAAATTTCTGTGTGTTTTTCTTATGATCAAGGCCAAAACTGATCAATTTATATTTGCTCTCTGATGTTATGGTTTCAGTGGATCTTCTGGGTTGGACCATTCATCGGTGCTGCCATCGCTGCGTTCTACCACCAGTTCACTTTGAGAGCAACAGCACTTAAAGCTCTGGGATCCTTCAGGAGCAATGCATAATATGCATTGGCTGCAGGACAGTTCGAGCAATGCAAATCTCTATGGTCAGAGAGGACTTGAGAAAGTTGTAAATAAGTATTAATTAGCAAGGAGAGGGTGCGAATTTTAGTGTGCCAAAATGTTGTCATATGCTCTTTTTTCGTTTTCTTTTTTTTTTTTTCCTTCCTATGTTGTTATGGCTCATGTTTAAGCATTTATATAATAAATTAAGCTTTTATTTTACCTTGTCTGAGTCATTTACTTTAGTTATATGGACGTTACCTCTTATTTTGGATCATCTTTCTTTGTGCTCAAGTTCAATTCACTGGGTTGTTTGCCTGTGTGTTTTTTCTTGCGAAATCAGCTACTGTCTAATATAAAATTGGATGATAGTGTTAGATGTGTCGGTGTTGCTAGGATTAGATGTTTCTGTAGATGTTGCATGATGTGATTGTCCAAGTACAAATACTTGGACGAATGGATAGGCAGAATACCTAGCATGAGAGAGAGAACTTGGAACTTTTTTGTGATTACGAATGTGTGTTTTTGGAGGATGCCTTCCTGAGGGTCAATGTCATTTCATTGTTTAGCACCTTGATTCTGATACAATCTACTCATTGATAGCTGCAGATATTGTTGCACTTCTGATGATCCCAGAATGTCTTTTATCCAGCCGGCCACTACAGACTGTCACCTTTCTTATTTGATCCTGTCAATTTTATTTTTGAAATTGTTGTACGTGTACCATTTTATTTCTGTATGTTATATCTAAAGTTGATGTATAGATATGCATATGCAAATAAAGAAATATTTTCTGTATGGATGTAGATCCTTTCAATATACTTCATAAATTATACACCACTCTTTTTGGTCATATACTAATACGATGCATTCATGGTTTTTAGAAGCATCTCCAAAATATTATATAAGCTGCAATTTTTTGCATCACATTTGCAGTCATCATGCTTTGCAATGCCACTTTATGGTAGATTTTGCCATTCTTATTCGAATAACAACGACGACTTAGAAAATTAACAATCTGGCCTAAGCACAACCTTCATTGGACCCGTAAATGATCATACATCTTTCTTGTATGAGCAATCCTTTCATAAGAAATCAGTGGTGATCTCATACAAACTGTTTCTAGGTCTTCTTGCTGTTAATCTACTTTAGTTAGTTGTACATTTTTTATACATCTATATTTACTCACAATTTACCTTCCAAAAAAAAAATTTCTACTTTAATTAGCTCATAGAGTGCTAACTCCATTTTTCCATTTGTTTATTTGGTCACAAGAACAGGACACTGGAGATTCAGGTATCAATGTAAAGCGCTGTGAACAAGAGACGACACTAAGATAGATCCATCACCTGAAAGACAAAAATTAGGAGAATATTACAAACTTTTGAAGCATGTTACTATGTTCTGTGAAATAAGGATTTCAAAAATATAAGATTTGTGCAACAATTCGCCGTATCTAGAGATAAATAGGCAATTTTGTTTTATTTTTTAAATATAAAATGCTCGTGATATTTGTAAGAAAATTTTCAAAATTATTCATTTGCATATGAAGTATAACATATACAAAAAAAAAAAAAAAAATTGTAGCCCCAATAGAGGCATCCGTACACATATATCCATTTAAATTGAATCAATGGTATATTATACACATATATCCCCATTGTCGATGCATATTAATATGGCATATATTTGCGCATAATATTTTAACACATGATTTAAGATTTGATCCACTTCTAAGAAAATTTTACAAGATTAATTGGGCGGTGGTTCATTCTGAATTCTATAGGATTTTCTTAGTTCTAATGATTATTTGGATCAAAATTGTAATTTGGATTATAATCAATTATTTGGTTCAATTCTAAAGTGACATATTCTAATGTTTTAATTTTTAAAGATCTTTTGCATGAGGATGTTGAAATTTTTATAAATATTACATTGTTACCCAAAGGAGATGGTGTACTGATGCATTCAAAATATCCATCACTATACTTTTCTTCTATCAATGGAAACAATATTAGAGTTCGTGGACGTGGATACAGTACCAAGAGAAGATTTTATAACCAGATATTTTTTGCCAAGTTAAAAATAAATAAAATATTTTATATTAGTTTTCTAGAGGGAATATCCTATTCACTCATTACCAAATAAGGGTGGCAAATGAACGGGTTGAATCAGATTTGGGCTGAGTTGAAAATAGATGGGTCAAAAATGCACAGAGTCAACTCGTTATGACCCGTGAACCAATTAATTATTATTTTATTTTATTTTATTTTATTTAAATTATATTTAAAAAAATGTATAGGGTCTTAAGACCCATATTGATGTTTAAAAAATAAAATTTTCTTAACAATTTTAATATTTACCAACATGGAAAAGGAAAATGTAATTTGTATATTTGTGAAAAAAAAAAAAAATGACCCGTGAAACCCACCCGACCCACCCATAATATTGATGTTTAAAAAATAAAATTTTCTTAAAAATTTTGATATTTACAAGTATGGAAAAGGAAAATGTAATTTGTATAATTGTATAAAAAATAAATAAATAAAATTGACCTATGAAACCCGACCAACCCGCCCACAATATTGATGTTTAAAAAATAAAATTTTCTTAAAATTTTTGATGTTTACAAACATGGCAAAAAAAAAATGTAATTTGCATATTTAAAAAAAAAAAAAAAATTTGACCCGTGAAACCCTACCAACCAGTTCAAAATTTTGATGTTTAAAAAATAAAATTTGATGTTTACAAGTATGGAAAAGGAAAATGTAATTTGTATACTTGTAAAAATATATATATATTGACCCGTGAAATCCAATCGACCCACCCAAAATATTGATATTTAAAAATAAAATTTTCTTAAAATTTTTTATGTTTACAAACATGGAAAAAGAAAATGCAATTTGCATATTTGAAATATATATATATATATATATTGCCCGTGAAACCCGACCGACCCGTCCAAAATTTTGATGTTTAAAAAATAAAATTTTCTTAAAAATTTTGATATTTACAATGTAATTTGCCTATTTGAAAAAATAAATTTGACCCGTGTAAACAACCGACCTATCCAAAATTTTGATGTTTACAAACATGAAAAAGGAAAACGTAATATGTATATTTGTAAAAAAAAAAAAAAAAAAAAAAAAAAAAAAAAAAAAAGACCGGTGAAACCCGATCAACCTATCCAAAATATTGATGTTTAAAAATAAAATTTTCTTAAAAATTTTGATATTTACAAACATGGAAAAATAAAATGTAATTTGTATATTTGAAAAAATAAAAAATAAATAAAAATTACCCATGAAACCGGACCGACCCGCCCAAAATTTTGATGTTTAAAAAATAAAATTTTCTTTAAAAATTTTATGTTTCCAAATATGGAAAAGGAAAATGTAATTTGTATATTTGTTAAAAAAAAAAAAAAAAAGAACCCATGAAACCCGTACGACCTGTCCAAAATATGGGCTGGATTGGGCTAGCCAAACTTGCAACCCTTCATGAAAGAGAGAAATGAGTTGAGTGTAGTATAAAATAAATGTGTGTTGTGTGTCTATTATGTGATGGGTGAAATATAGGTTGAATATGGATAATCATATCCAACTCATCTTGACCCTCAAATTAAGTGGTTAAAAATTACTCAATCCATTTTTGACCCATCTTAAATATGGTTCACCCTTAACTATTAAAAAGCGGACGGATATGGACGGGTTGATGGTTTCTAACCCATTTTGTCACCCCTAAAATCAAATATACATAATTGTAGTGGTTAAAGTCACGTTGGAACCAAATATATATATATATATTTTTTCTCTTTTCAGTTTTTTATTTTGTTATTATTACCCTCTTATTTAATAATTATATAAAAATGAGAACATTATTTAATTCTCATTTAAGAATTTTTTTTTTTAAAATCTTTTCGTTAAATTTTATAAAAATTATATGGCTGATATAAAAAAATATATAGCAAATTTACTATAAAAAAAAAAAAAGCCATAACAGTTCTACAGTGTTCAGCAAATCTCATGCATCAACATGTGTATAGGCCAAGAAATTGAAGGTTAGTGCAAGTTTTTTTTTATCAAGATAAATGGCCTGAGTCTTTTTTCTTACCTTTTTTTTTTTTTTTGACAAAGCATTGGCAGTCATTTTTTTTTTGTTGTGAGCCTGTGATGGCAAGAAAATATATATAGTCAAATACATTATAAGTTACCTTTCAAAAAATAAAAAAATACATATTATGATTTTTTTTTTGCCTGACAAAACGGAAAAAAAGAGCAGAGAAATCAAAATCAATGGCATGAAGAAGCCAAGTGGGCCAAGAGTCCCACCCAAGATCAGAGCAACAGTATCGCACAGTCCAGTGAGTAAGAAGGTGGGCTGGCCTGTTAGAAGACCTGGTAGTTCAAAGGAGCTTGGTCAGGATGGGTCTTTAAGAGGAATTGTATGTCCTCAGTAATGACGAGATGACATAAGCTAATTCTCCAGAAGGGGAGAAGAGAAACTGACAACATTGACAAAATCTTGTAAAATTAAACCTTATTAAATTATCATAAAATTATTTTCTATTAAAGTTTTAATTTTTTTTTTTTTAATTTTATTTTAAAAATTCATATAAATCATACTGTGTTAAAAGCAACACGAGAAGTAGACACCTGAGAACTCTTAATAACAGCATTTTTGTAGGCAGAACAATGAAAATTAAAAGCCAAGTGATCAATGAGTACAGTAAATTTGAAACCAACATCCGTAGAACTGTAAACTCTAATAAATTAATCAGTTTCATAAATATTAAGATAAAGGATGTAACTACAATAATTTAAAATAGTTACAACACTAAAAGTTTTAGTGTCAAATTAACTTGTGACAATTAAGCAT